CTGATTGTGTTCAGTACCTGGTTCTTCTTTTACACTGCCACTCCCTCCAGGAAAGTTCAGTCCCAGGCTCTTGTGCTAGGCTTTCACCATGGTCTCCACAGCCCCAACTCCTGGCTCACCATTTTCCAACCCTTGTGGTCCTGTGATGTGGTCGCACAATTGCCTGCACAGCCTTTCTTCCCCTTCTGATTCATGCAGTGTCCAGAATTAGGGAGACGTTAGCTGTCCTAAATCACTGGGTTGTCAGTGGTGCTGGTCTTGCCAGAACCTGCTGGCCATTAGGTCGAAAGGTCACCCAGACCTATTTTGAGTAAACCTGTAGGATGCCAACTCGGTATTATTTTCCCTGTGAGATCAGTGCAATGCATTGAGCTGGAAGTGAGTGAGTTCTCTCCTGGCTCAGAGTCTGTGCAACTCGCTGTTCCTTCAGCCCTTCCCTCAGCACACAAAAACATGCCGGATTTGGCATTGGTTGGGGTCTGAGTAGTGAAATCCATCCTGTACATGCACCTGCCTGCTGGGGCTCTGCCACTCTATGTCTGCTCATGGTTGAATCAAATAAGCAGGACAGGCAGTTCTAGCCTGGGTTCACCCCGAGCTCCCAGTGAACTCTCCTTCCCACCTGGCCGCTGGTGGAGCTCTGATCATTGACCACCGCTGGGGTATGTGCTCAGTGCGACTCTGCTCTGCTCTCTCTGCTGCTTCCCATGTCCACAGATCTCCAGGAGTCCCTCTGCTGCTGGCCTGTCCTCTCCTATTTCCTGGGATCATGGCCTATTTGCTTCACCCTGACTAGTGAGTCTGTTTAAATGTGTCCTTATCCTATTCTGCCATCCTGTTCTCCCTTCTTCCTGTTTTTCTTTTTCCAGATTTTTTTCCTTAGCTCTAAGCCTAATAATTTTTCTCAATTCCGAACAGAGTCTAAAATATCCAATGTACTGAATATTGTTTTTAAGCTTAGCAAATGCACAACTGAACTCAAGCTTTTTTGCAACCAAATCTATTCTTTCATCAAAGAATTTCCTGTCTCAGAGATTAAGCCACTGTTTGCTCAGATTAGAAACAGGTAAGCCATACTTTCACCTCCTTCCTTCCCCTATATACAAAAAGTTACTAATTCATGTTTTAAAAAATGTAACTAAATACTAAGAAAAAAGTGTTCATTTCTTACCAGATAAAATACCATAAACCCCAGGTTAGGCAATAGGTGATTGCCTCCCCTAAACACGGTTTTACATACTTCTATTCTTGTTTCTCTTCAATTTAATTTCTATAAAGGACAAAAATCTTATGTGAAAGTTTGATTATGCCACTTCTTTACCTAATATTCTTCAATTACTTTCCATATAAGTGAAATGTCAAAACTTAAACTCTTCATATGGGGCCTTGACTTGTCCAGGGTTATCTTCTTATTCTTTTTCCTTTTTTTAAAAAAATATTTATTTACTTATTTGAGGGCCAGGCACAGTAACCTAGTGGCTAAAATCCTCGCCTTGCACGTGCTGGGATCCCATATGGGCGTCGGCTCTAATCCTGGTGGCCCCACTTCTCATCCAGCTCCCTGGATGAGCAGTTGAGGACAGTTCAAAGCCTTGGGACCCTGCACCCATGTGGGAGACCTAGAAGAGGCTCCGGGCTCCTGGCTTCAGATCGTCACAGCTCTAGCTGTTGCGGCTGCTTGGGGAGTGAATCATCGGACGGAAGATCTTCTCTCTCTCCCCTCCTCTCTGTATACCTGACTTTCCAACAAAAATAAGTAAATATTAAAGGTTTATTTACTTATTTGAAAGTCAGAGTTGTTGGGGTAGGGAACAGAGGGAGAAAAAAAGAGAAATTGTTCATCTGCTGGTTCACTTCCTAGATGCCCTCAATGGTCAGGGCTGGGCCAGGACAAAGCTAGGAGTAGCAAGCTTCCTCCATGACTCTTAATGTGGATGGTACTGGCCAAAACATTTGGCACATTTCTCTCCTTTTCCAGGCCATTAGCAGGAAGTTACAACAGAAGTAGATGGGACACGAACTGGTGACTACATGGGGGGCGCTGACACTGCAGGCAGCAGCATTACCTGTTACACAACAGTGCTGCCTCTCCTTCTCATTCTCTACCTGACACTTCACATGTTAGCCCCACTACATTTTATTATTTAAACTTGTCACACCTTGCTTCCCCCCCGAAACCTAACACATTCTTCATGTTGCTTTACAACACTGACACTCATGATTTTTGTCCAGCTAACTCTTTATCACTTCTGTATTTCTTCTAGAAGCGCTTCCTAACATTCTTTTATATTTATCCTTCTCAGAGTACCCCATCCTTTAACAATAGTATCCACCCCACTTTAGTGATTGCTGTTTATCTATCATGCTTCTATTTAACACATATTGAGAACCTACTGCACAATGGCAATTGCATTCTCTTGCTGCAAATAAAATTCAGTGAACACAGGCTATTGCAAAATCACATTTGGGACTTGAGACTAGACCAAGAAACATGTGTCAGTGAGTATTCCCATATATTTCTCTACTAAATTAAACAAAAGTTGATTCCATACTGTTTCTAGCACAGTAGTTGATAGATAAGCATTCACCAGATTTCAAACATGTACAAAAACATCTTACATAGTAAGAAATCTACCATCCATTATCCAGCATAATTTTTCTTTGATAATTCTTTGGATACAATGAAGTATAAAAAGGTAAAGAGGCAAACTGCAGTGTCACAAATATGAGACTGATAGAACACTGTGGTTAATAATTCTGCCACTTACTAGGTATATGTTTTTTTGACAAGACATTTAACTTCTATGAGCCTCAATTTCTTCCTATAAAAAAAAAACTTTAAAAATCAAGTGAGATTGGTGTGGTGCAGTAGCACCACAGATGCATAAGGACAACTGGATTCCCTAACCTTGAGTACCTCTTCAAAGGGCGGAAGAAAGGAAAGTGACACAACATTCCGGGCCAAGTTTTGTCCACCTAGGCCTGTGGCACGGCAGAGGACATGGACAAGCAACAGGCATTAGAATTTACACAGAGAGAACAAAGAGGCCCTGTAAGGACAGATGCAATGTGTCATCTCTTATACAGTGACCACTCAAGTAACTCCCCCAGGTCATTCCTCCACCCTCCTCCCCACCCCACCACAAACACATCTTTCTCACTCCTCCTCTCCCCTCTATCCCTGTCTATCCATACTAGAGGCCCACAGGAGTCTGTAATTTCAGATCCCTCCCTTCCGTAATGCTGAAAAACAAAACAAAACAAAACAACAAAGGATGGATTTGGGGGCCATCACAGTGGTGTGGCGACTAATGCTGCTTCCTACAAAGCCAGCATCTGAAACGCCAGTTTGACCCCCAGCTGTACCACTTCCAATCCAGTTCCTTGACAATGGCCTAGGAAAGGCAGCAGAGGATGGTCCAAGTACTTAAAATAAACTCCAAATTCTAGGGAGAGATCTTCCTGGCACAATCAAAATCTATATAATGTAGCCCCAACTTCTCTCTTCACATTCATTTTTAATAACTTTTTCTATACCCCAACAGTCTTTATCATGTTCCTTCAAAGAGCTTTCACAACTGAAGTTGGGGCTTTCACAACTGAAGTTATCTCAATCTGTAAATATTTCCAGGGTTGGCTTTTTTTTTTAATCACCTAAGTCTTAGCAGAGGCCTTACTGAACCAATCACTCCGCAGTATTCCCGTCCCCCAGCCTCTCACTTCACAGTAATTTACCTTGTTGCATTTACCAGTATCCAAATTCCTTCTTTATATGTTGTTTATATATTTTCTACCTTTTCTTACTAGAATGCTACCTTAGGGATGTTGTCGGTCTGGCTTACCACTGTGAGTATTTACAATGCCTAAAAAGTGCAAGCAAAGGGGATTTCTTAAAAATATTATACTGTTGCCTAAATCGTTTCATGTCTCTGTTGAATGCACATTTGTGAATTTAACCTTGGTTTGACATAACTCTGGGTCCAAGGAACACAAAGTGGTTACTGAACTTCCTTCAAAAACACATCCCTCCTTCAACAAATATTTACTGAATGTATATTAACCGTGTTTCCCATACTGATCACAACATTGAATTTCCTCCCCAGGAAAACGGGCTTTTGTGAAGCAACTTTATTTTACAGGTCTGTACAAATAACAGGAGCATGAAAATACATACACGTCAAAAACTTTTATATACATATTACTTTACAATTACTGCATTTGACTCTTTTCTTTAGTCTTATAATGGTTAAGAACTTATGACAAGAGCCAAGTAAAAAAACAGCATATAAACAGAAGGCAACAAACACAAACGTGTCTTTAATAGGCACATGATGACTAAACGTTTAGTACTGAATTAACTGGGTGTTGGAAAGAGTTAATTTTCACACATCTGATGCACGAAAAGTCAGGGAGTGGGGACGTGGAGGCGAGCACCCCTCACCATCTCCCAGTCTGATCCTGCACAGGCTCTGCACACCATCAGTGCACTGGTGTGGGTGGTCCTGTAGGGCTAGCGAGGCCTCCTGCAGGATGTGTTCCACTACCCCAGTGTGTGCAGCAGAATCGTCTCTAGTCCTGACCTAACAAGCCTGTCGGTCATGATCAAACAACAGCAGTGGGGTTCAGCGGTGAGGGCGCCTCCCCAGGAACAGCAACCCATCCCAGTCACAGGAGCCTAAGGCATGGTTCGTCTGCAGGGATGCACTGCGTGTACAGCAGCCTTTACAACTGTGGTGGTTTCCGATAGGAAAATCTTTTTTTTTTTTTACTTACCTGTGATTTACCCGTCAAATGTGAGGGATGGGAGGAGAAAAAGAAGAGACACATGCTGAGAGATTCAAGAACGGAGTCAGGAAGAGGAAAGAGGCCTATGCCAGCTTCCCCTGCGCCTGGGAAAGGAAGTGTAAAGGAGGTGGAAAGACGCTTCCGGTACTACAGACAGGAAAAACATGAGCGACCAAGGGCCTGGAAGGCAAGAGGAATGGGCCATATCTACGTACTTACGATTCCTTTGGCAGCCCTCTCCTGCGTGTCCCAGGTGCCCAGCAACCGTCACACAAAGCACGAGCCACTCTGCGGGGCTTGGGGTGTGGGGTGTCGCAGCGCGGCTGGGGCGCCCTTTACCGCAAGGGTGGTCGGGAACGGGGGCAGCGGGCGCCCTTTCCTGTGAGGGCGGCCGGGAGTGGGAGCTGTGGGCGCCCTTTCCTTCGAGGGAGGTCAGGAACAGGGATGCGCGGTGTCACGGCCCGGCCTTCAGGGTGGTCGGGAACAGGTGGTGCGGGGAGTCGCGGCCTACCCAGCAGGCACCTCTACCGCGAGGGCGGCCGGGAACGGCGGCTGTAGGTGCCCTTTCCTGAGAGTGTGGTCGGGAGTGGGAGCTGTGGGCGCCCTTTCCTTCGAGGGAGGCCAGGAACAGGCCCGGCCCTCAGGTGTCCTCTGCCGCGAGGGTGGTCGGGAAAAGGGGGCGCGGGGAGTCACGGCCTACCCAGCAGGCACGTCTACTGCGAGGGTGGTCAGGAACGGGGGGGGGCAGTTGGGCGCCCTTTCCTAAGTGGGTGGCCAGGAACGGGGACTGTGGGCGTCCTTTCCTGCGAGGGCGGTCGGGAACGGGGGCGCGGGGTGCCCTTTCCTGCGAGGGGTCGGGAACGGGGGCGCAGGGTGCCATGGCCCGGCCCTCAGGCGCCCTCTACCGCGAGGGCGGCCGGGAACGGGGCGGGGCAGGGGAGGGGCGCGGAGAGTCGCGGCCTACCCTGCAGACACCTGTACCGCGAGGGCGGTCAGCCGGTGGAGGTGCGGCTGAGGTGGGAGCAAGGACCGGGCTGAGGGCAGCAGTGTGTCTGAGTGACGTACTGAGGACGCTGCCCACGGAGGAGAAAGTTCTGGATCCCTGGGGTCTCTGGCATGTTTTTGATCAGTTGCATGCCTTCCTTTCATCTGTCTCTTGCGATAGTTGACCTAAAGGATTGTAAGAGTGTGCAGGGACCCCAGGTGTTAATGCCAGGAAGCCACGGCAGGGGTTGCATGTGCAGGAAGTAATTTAGACCAACTCAGATCATGTGTCAGCCGAAGTGCACAGTTTAAAAAAAAAAATGAGCCATCTTGGAGTGGCGACTGTCGGGGCGCAGGGTTCAGCAGTGCCGTCTACTAGCCGTGGGACATAAGCAAATTCATAATGTCCCCGACCTTGTTTGCTCAGCTAGAAAGTCTGTCGATGAGAAGTGGGAAGTGTCTAAGGGAGAGGCTGGGCACAAAGCAATGAATTCCACTCGTCAGGTGCCCTCGTACCCTCGAGCCCTCGTGGGGACAGGGTGGGAACTTTCCCATGAAACAAAAAAGAGAGCCGCTCTGCTTGGAGGTGGGCAGAGGCCTTGGGTGTTGGGTCCCGAAGGTGGCACATCAAGCTCTTCTAACGAAAGCTCCAGCTTCCCGAATTAGACAAAGAAACAATTGCTATTGGCAAAAGCCCAAACTTCTTGGAAAATAAATTGTCCTTTCCTGTTTTACCTTCCTTTGGAGTTGCAGAACTATGTTTACTGCTGAACAAAGTCAAGCATTTTACTTCAGTGTTTTCTCACCTAGTTCTGATTGTAGTTACAGCTCTTTGTTGGGCAGCTGAGTAAGAAATTGTCTTTTTATTGTTTAACACATTCCTAACAAGTGTGGCGCAGTTTTTCAGGAAGAACTGAAAGTTACTTTCTTCCTTGTTTTAGGAGCATTCACATGTTCTTTGTGGTTCCAAAGCGAAAGAATCGGCTTTGTTCTTATGTGAGAAAAGCAGGTGGATTACCCAGGTTACTGCAAAGAGGAATGAATGCTAGAGCTGGGAAGGTGTCCCCCAGGGCATTGTTTGTTCTGTGCTCCATATGCAACAGACTCAGAGAGTAAAATACTTAGAGCCCACCTAAGGAGAATGGGGGTGGGAAGGAGGAACACATTAACAAATATGGTTTTGCAGTTCTCATTGGTCCAGTGAAACAGGCTAGATTTAATATGAAATAGTTAAACATCGCCAATTCCTTGCTTTTCATTTTCCATTGCAAAGGCAGATATACAGAGAGGAGAGACAGAGAAAGATCTTCCATTTGCTGGGTCACTCCCCAAGTGCCCACAAAAGCTGTAGATGAGCTGATCCGAAGCCAGGAGCCAGGAGCTTCTTTCACATCTCCCATGTGGGTGCAGAGTCCCAAAGCTTTGGGCCATCTCCACTGCTTTCCCCGGGCCCACAAGCATAGAGCTGAAATGGAAGTGAAGCAGCTGGGACGCAACCTGGCAACCATATGGAATTCCAGTGGATGCAAGGGAGGGAATTAGCCACTAGGCTATTACGCTGAGTTTAATTCCTTGCTTTTAAAATGACAGGAAAACAGTTCCCATCTGTTACTGAGAACTACACACAAGTCATACAGAAATGTAATGTTCTGGCGAGGATGTTTTGCCTTAAGACGGTAACACTAGCCTCTGTGAAGCCCTCATTGCACTGGGGCACCTGTTTGTATTCTGTTTGCTCCACTTGCAGTCTCTACAGATAACCTAGGAAAAGCACAAGTACCTGTGCTTTTCAAATACCTGTGCTAGAACAAGTACCTAGCCCCCCGCTACTCAGGTGAGAGACCTAAAATAAGCACCTTGCTTCTGTGTTTAGCATAGCCCAGCACTGGCCATTGAGGTCATCTGGGGGGGTGAACCTAGGAATGAAAGATTCTGTGTCTCTTTGACGCTGTTGTTCAGATAAATAAATCTTTTAGAAATGTACAACTTTTAAACTGAGGTGTGACTAGTATATTAAATGTGAACTGTTCTGCAAAGGCATCTAAGTGTTGAATGGTAGGGGTGTATGTTGGAGGGTGAGCTGCACAATGAGAACTTGAAATTTGGAGAACAGATCTAGCTATTAAAGTCTGTTTCTGCTATGAACGTGTGCAACTGGGATTGAGTTTCTAGCTTCTGGTTTCATTCCTTCCCAGCTCTGGTCATTGTGAGCATTTTAGGGGTGGTCTGGGGCGGGGTGACTCAGTGGCTGGGAGCTGTCAGGATCTATCTGTGCCTCAAAACTTTTATTTTGATGCAAATAATTCTGAAATCTGTACATGGTTTTGGAATAATAGACATTTTTCATGAACTTTAGGAAAATCCCTCTTATGCATGTATTTCGAAAACATTTGCAACAAAATGAACTTACCTATAAAGTCAATCTTTCCATAAGCTTATTAAGTACCTTTATATATCTTCACAAAAGTAAAATATAATGCATTTGTGTTGTTTTTTTTCAGCCAATTTATCTGATATGCTCCAGCACTGCAGTAATAAAATGTAAATGATCAAAACAAAAAAGGTGTTTCTATTGTTTTTCATGTTCTAAATGTTTTGCAATGAAACCATATTATTTTATAATACAAACTCTGTTGTTAAAACAATGTAATGAAATAATTCTGTCTCTCTTTTTTAAAGATTTATTCATGTATTTTTTATAGGAAAGTCAGATTTACAGAGAAGGAGAGACAGCGAGAATCACCTTCTGTCTACTGGATCACTCTCCAAGTGGCCGCAAAGGCTGGAGCTGAGCTGATCCAAAGCCAGGAGCCAGGAGTGTTTTCTGGGTTTCCCATGTGGGGGCACAATCCAAAGGCTTTGGGCCGTCTTCGACTGCTATTTCAAGCCACAAGCAGGGAGCTGGATAGGATGTGGAGCAGCCAGAATTAAATTCAGTGCTCATATGCCTGGCACTGCCAAGGCGAGAACTTAGCCACTAGGCTATGGGGCCGGGCCTGATAATTCTGTTTTTAAAACAATGTTGTGGGTGTAGCAGGTAAGGCCTGTCTGGCAGGTCTTATAGGTGCTAGTTTATGTACTGGCTGCTCCGCCTCCAATTCATAAGCTGTTAATGCCCTGAGACAATCAACAGAAGGTGCACCATGCCCTTGGGCCCCTGCAGTGCATGTGGGAGAGCCTGGGTCTTCAGCCTGCCCCAGCTTTGGGCTTTGTGGGCATTTGGGGGAATGAACCAGCAGATGGAAGATTTCTTTGTCTGTGTGCTGGTCTTTTTCTCTCTTTCTGTGTCCCTCTAACTCTGACTTTCAAATCAATAAATCTTTTAAAAAAGAACATAGACCAGCTTGTCCTAAAAATAAAACAATATAATGAATGAGACTGTGTGCAAATGAACAGCTGAGGAAAGTTTGAGGACTTAAAAATCCTGGAATGTGACAAAATGTAAAGAGCTAAAGCCTAAGCAATCTGCCTAACAAAAAATACTTCTCAGAATGGAGATGGGTTGTGCCAATCCTAGAGAAAAAAAAAAAAAGAGAGTGAGAGAGAGAGAGAGAGCATTGGTTAACAGAAGTTTTGCTGACTAAATCCTAATCATCACTTAGCCAAAGCCTCATTTTCTCTGGGAACTGCCTAAATTGCAACCCATTCTTCTTACTCCCCATACACTTTGAGGTGATCCTGCCGTGAGCTCCCTACAATAAACACTATAGTTACTGAATAATGGCATTTGCAATTATTTATAATCTCTTATTTAATCATCTGCTTCCTTTATCAATTAAAAAAAATTTATTTGAAAGGTGGGATGGGGGGAAAGGAGAGAGAGAGAAAGAAAGAGAGAATGGCTGCAATGGCCAGAACTGAACCATCTGAAACAAGAAGGAGGAACTTTTCCATGTCTCCCACAAGGGTTCAGGGGCTGAAACAAGTGGGCCATCCTCCACTGCTTTCCTAGGCCATAAGCAGGGAGCTGGAGAGAAAGTTGAGCAGTGGGCCCAACATGGCAGCCTAGTGGCTAAAGTCCTCACTTTGCACACACCCAGATCTCATACAGGTGCTGGTTCTAATCCCGGTGGCCCCACTACAGGAATACATTATCACAGAGCAACCACAGTGAGGCTGATATAAAGCCTGTTTAGAAGAGGTGAAGATTAAGCCAGAGTTGAACAGAACTGCCTTGTTGGAAGAGCCCAAGATGGGAGTCTAACGCAGAGAGAAGCCTTGTGTAGATCAGCTGTGTGGGTTTTTAATATTCATGACTCATTTGTTTAATAATATTTAATAGCTACCTCAAGATTAGATTGAACTTTGAATTTTAGGCTAAAGAAATTAGGTGGGATAAGACAAGTATCAATTAACACTTCAAGTACACAAATAACATAATAAAAGCCACAAGCTCTATGTGAACATGATCCTTCTCAAAACAGGGAAGAGAGGAGTAATACAAAAAAGCAGAAATTGCCTGTTACAAAGTGGCATAAAATATACTCCTTCCAGAGAAGCCCTTCTTTTCATATTTCCTCTGCTTGCATGTCACAAGATCTAAGACTCCTGCTTTAGAAGTCATCTTTGGACTTAGGTATTCTCTTTCAATAATATGGTAGCCAAATTATGGTAACACCCTACAACAATGTTGTCTGGCCCCTCAAATTGACCTTCTATTCCCCTCAGCAACACTGCGCCTAGAGCTGCAGCTCAGCCTCTGCACAGCTGGAACTGGAGATGGGTTCACTTCCACTTCACGTCCTTTAAGCTAAATTGCTTTGTATGTTTTTCCTTGCTCCCTTCATCCAGAAAGCTAGAAGGAAGCCATGGAAGGAAGTCTACTTTTCACCCACATCCTGAGCTGAGGCACAGAAGAGCTTCATGACAGAAAGACTTGTTAGCATCAACCACGCAGCTACTTTCCTTTCAAGCACTGTATTTTTTCTATTCTGTCCTCCTTCAAGTACCATATATTTCTGTCACTATAGCAGCTTGTCTAATCCTAATTAATGTAACATTCATGAACCTGACACAGATTTGAAGATAAGCTGTCTTTTACCTAGAGAAGCAGGATGTGAATCACTAGAAACAAATAAGGGCTGGATCAGAGCCGCTACATTCAGACGGGCCACGTGAGACTCTGTAGTCAGCTAAGGACAGGACGAAAGCCTTTTGACTAGACAGGGCAATAAGAACCAGTGAAAATAATTCAAGTCCTTTAAAATTTGGGGGGACAAGTTATAATAATTCACAGTAAGATAGTAAGGTACAAATGGAGAAGAAGATTCACAGGGAAAGTGAGGATAAAAACCAATTGTAGGGGGGCGATGATGTGTTGGCATTGTAGTAGAGCGAGTAAAGCTACTTTTTTTTTTTTTTTGCTATACAGGCAGCCATCTGGGCACCAGTTCCTATTCTGGCTGCTATATAATTCCAACCAGCCCCCTGCTGATGGCCTGGGAAGAGTAGCAGAGGATGGCTCAAAGCCTTGGGTGCCTGTCACCCATGTGGGAGACTCAGATGAAGTTCCTGGCTCCTAGCTTCAGCCTGGCCCAGCCAGCTGGGGAGGGAATCAGCAAATTGAAGATTTCTTTCTCTTACTCTCTCTATAACTCTGACTTTCAAGTAAATAAACAAAGATTCTTTAAAAAAGAAATTGATGTAAGACTGCATTATGTTGTTAAAAAGACAAAGAGGATGAGTAGTCAAAAATAGTTGAAGGCATTGGAGCCTATTGGATCATGAACCAATAAAATATGAATTAACAGTAAAGTCAGAGCAAGCGGTTGGCTAGCTGAAGAGGATGTTGAATTGGTTTTCTTACAAGTTAATTTTTTTTAAAAGATGTATTTTATTTTTATTGGAAAGGCAGATATACAGAGAGGAGAGACAGAGAGGAAGATCTTCCGTCTGATGATTCACTCCCCAAGTGAGCGCAACGGCCTTTGCTATGCCAATCCGGAGCCAGGAGCCTCTTCCGGGTCTCCCACATGGGTGCAGAGTCCCAAAGCTTTGGGCTGTCCTCGACTGCTTTCCCAGGCTACAGGCAGGGAGCTGGAAGTGAAGTGGATCAGCCAGGACATGAACCAGCACCCATACAGGATGCTGGCACTTGAGTTAGATAGATGAACGTTGCGCCAGGTCCTACAAGTTAATTTTATATTGTAATAGTATGTGAATGTAAATACGAGTATATCCTTAAAAACTAAGAGAAGTGGTGAAAAGTGTATGTGAAAAAACAAAGAAAGTAGAGATTAAAGAACATGGATTGGAGGTAAATGATAGAGGCTTATAGGTGCAAAACATAAACTCTCACATCGTAAGGGGAAAGGATAAAATTGAAAAAATAATCACAGTTTTGGTTCATTATTTTTTTTTAAAGATTTATTTTATTTTCATTACAAAGTCAGATATACAGAGAGGAGGAGAGACAGAGAGGAAAATCTTACGTCTGATGATTCACTCCCGAAGTGAGTGCAACAGCCGGTACTGCGCTGATCCAAAGCCAGGATCCAGGAACCTCTTCCAGATTTCCTGCACGGGTGCAGGGTCCCAAAGCATTGGGCCTTCCTCGACTGCTTTCCCAGGCCACAGGCAGGGAGCTGGATGGGAAGTGGAGCTGCCGGATAAGAACTGGCGTCCATATGGGATCCTGGCGTGTTCAAGGTGAGGGCTTAAGCCACTAGGCCATTGCCGCTGGGCCCTGGTTCATTATATTTTAAGCTTAAACATTATTACATATTTCCATATCCATCTTGACAGAAGCAGCCTCTGGTAGCTGCTTTCTAATCATCATGTCTGGCATTCTCTTTTCACCTCTAAGCTTGTGTAGAAGTTTCTGTTTCAGCTTCATCTCTGTTTTGATGTTCAAGTTTCTGAAGAAGCCTAGGGCCCAGCAAACCAATGAGTAGACTTCCAATTGGGGCTGTGATGAGGATGGCCAAAAAGGCCACTGTCAACACATCCATTCCATAATCTTCTAACTGTTTGTCTCCAGCTGATCTTGCTGTGTCCAAAGCCACAGATCCTATTGCAGCCTATAAAAGTTTAGAGGTAAAGTAAAAAACTTGATATGGCATGCATATATAAAATAGTCAAATTGCTTGCTCATTTACTCAACCAAAGAAGTTCTGCTAGTCTTCTTCTAATGCATACTATAGGTATTTTTGATTATCTGGAAACTACCCCTGGGCCTTCATGGAGACAAACTGATGATTCAAATGGACCTGTTCTCACAGGGCAGGACCATATAAATACCAAGCAAACATATTTCTAACTGCAAGGAAAATACAGACTCACAATGTCAACTAAATAATGCAAGATGTTTCTATGTCCTAAATTTCTTGTGACTTAAGATGAACGTTAGTCATTGTCTCATTATTTTATCTTCAGGAATCTGAAATTAAGACAAAAAGATTAAGTGACACTTATTGGGAGATAATAAAGTTTTAAGTGAATATGTATTCTTTTTAAAGAACATTTATTTATTTTTATTGGAAAGGCAGGTTCACAGAAAAAAGGAGAGATAGAGAAATATCTTCCCTCTGTTGATTCACTCCCTAAGTTGCTGCAACAGCCAGAACTGAGCTGATCTCAAGTCAGGAGCCAGAAGCCTCTTCCAAGTTTCCCATGAGGGTGCAAGGTCCCAAGACTTTGGGCCATCCTCGACTGCTTTCTCAGGCCATAAGCAGGGAGGTGGATGGGAAGTGGAGCAACTGGAACACAAACTAGCATCGTATGGGATACTGGTGATTGGAAGTGGAGGATTAGCTATTTAAGCCATCATGTTGGGCTCACGAATCTGTATTCTTTTAGAGTCTAAATGGTCACATATAAAGTGGTGGGTACCTTTAAATCTTGAAGTTAACTTTTTGACATTTGGCTTTACCTGTGCTTCAGGAGTTGGTGAAATTTATATTTAAAGTAAAAGGGTGGGTGCTCAGTCTAGCTAATGGCATACTGGTACAGTGTTGTAGCACAGTAGATCAAGCTGCTTCTTGCAGTGGTGACATCCCATACGGGCATCAATTCGAGCTGGCTGCTCCGCTTCCCATCTCACTCCCTGATAATGTGTCTGGGAAAGCAGTACATGACCCAAGTGCTTTGATCCCTGCACCCATGTTGGGGAGATTCAAATGAAGTTCCAGGTTCCAGCTTCAGAGTGGCCCATCCCTGACCATTGCTGTCATTTGGGAAGTGAACCAGCAGATCTCTCTGTCTCTCTTTCCCTGTGTGTCTTAACTTCTCTGTAAGTCAACCTTTACAATAAATAAACTTTAAAAACAAAACAAAAACAAATAAGAGCTACCCATGGCCCATACTGGAATGCCTGGGTTTGATAGCTGGTTCTGACTTCCGACCTGCTGCTTTTTAATACAGACCCTGGAAGGCACAAGGCAACAGTGATGACTGAGGTAACGGGATTCCTGATTTCCATGGGAGACCTGCATTGAGTTCTGGGCTCCTGGCACTGGGATTGAGATAGGTGAGCTATTGCATTCATCTGTGCAGTACACCAGCACGTGGGCTCTCTCTCTACCTCTGCCACTCAAATAAGTCACTTGAAATGATATCTCTTGGACAATATGATAAAAAATTCTCATTGTAGAGGTGTATTAATCTGGTTATCCCCTTAGTTTACTAAGCAAAACACTGTGGCCTGTCACAGTGAAACAGAGAGGAAAATACCAAGGTACTCTGGGTGCAATGGTAGAGACTATTAGCTGCCATTAGTTATTTAAATGCCCTTTTTGCTTCTTTAATAAAGCTCCTGAGTTTTATCAGCACACTGAAGTCCAGAGATCCTCTGGTGGTCTCTTTTTTCCCCAGCACGCCCCTTTTTTCTTGACTCAAATACACAGGGAAATGGGGGAGATAAACAGTGCCTGTAATACCGCAAACAGCATAGACACTGTGATTGTACTTCCTTTCTCGCTTCCCACTGCGTGAGAGGTGAAGCCATCAGAGCTGGGGATGGAAGCTCCTGCTGAGACTGCTTTTCACCCTGCCAGCTCCGGAGTGCCTATGCTAGACTGCTGATGAGAGAGAAATAAAAATCTCTCTCACCTCATCTCTGTTTTTGGAGGTTCTGCATTATTGCTGATAACCTCCTGCCAAAGTGAATTCAACATTTTATGAACTTGTGATAAGTGTTTGTATGCATGCTAAATTGTGATTTAAAGTATACTTCTTAGAGCAGCTCATGGATAAAAAATTTTGAGCAACACTAATAGAAAGTTTATATGTGTGTGTATATGTATGTAAGGTGCTATCTTCCAAACTTCAACACTTAGAATCAAATCTTTACGTATAAGCTTTCATTATTATTTTGATATTTACTTAGTGACGTTATCAAACATGGAACTGAAAACACTGTAAGGTTTAAGTTATCCCATTTATTATATTTTATTTATTATCCTCAATACTCCTAGTCATTTCCCCAGATAGTTTTGAAAGTATGGTGCAATCATTTTCCAGAATAATGCTCAAGGCCACAGAAAATGTGGAATACAGCATAAACTTCACTCAACACCTCCCAAATTAACAACACCTAGTTTCTCATTTCATAAACCAAAAGTTTGCATATTTAGATAATTGCAAAATAACCAGAGATAGACCACTTCAATCTTGCTTGCTGCAATTTGCCTCAAAATACACAATACAATCAGGGGGAGCAAGTATTACCTTCGCAATGAGTCACAATCTATACGGTTCTAATTTAATCAGCAACTTCGGGTATCCTACTAAATGCACAGTGAATAACTTCATGCACCTACATGCAAGTGCTTTATCACTTGTTCACTGGTGTATACAGATTTTGGGTCAAGTGACAGACAGCTGCCTAGAGGTTCAGCTGGTTCCCTCAACCCCATATCCATGGGGATGTTTCAGTATGCTCTGTGGATGCCTGAAACCCAGGATGGTGCTATAGCTCAAAATATACCATGCTTTTTTCCTTACTAAGTTGAGAGTTGGGAGCTTTTTTACTTTTTAAAGAAAACACACTGTAGCTTTTTTTTTTTTTTTTTTTTTTTTTGGTCAGTGCCATTAACACTACCCTTGTACTTAAGAATCATTATCAAATGAAATAAGTGTTACTTGGACACAAACACTGCTGATTGAAACAGCTGATCTAGTAACAGAAGTAGGTGCTGTTAAATTCTCAAACTAATTTTTCAAGAAACAGATCCTTCTCTATTGTATGTAAGACTCTGCTCAAGCATAATTGTTTATTAATGGCACTGACATTGAAGCATTTTCAAATATTAAGATAAGTCATGGTAATTTGTTTTATTCTATTCTTGGAAGACACTGAAAAGCATCATCAACTCTCTCTTGGGGTGTTTCAGAGAGTGCTGGCAAAAAATGAAAGCTTCCTTCCTCCTATTAGTTCTTTCTAGTAAATCAGAAATTTATTGAATGGCTAGTTGTACCTGGTGTGCTAAAGAAATTTAAGCACCCCACTATATTTAAGGAACCTATATACACAACTTTATAGAATAGTTTAGCACACATTCTCTTTATAAATTCAATTTCAATGATCAGTAGTCATTAAATTTAAATAAGCTCTTCAATATTTTAAGGTTCACACAGGAGCAGCAGTTAAAGTGCTAAGCATTCCCATCCATAATTACCTGGACTGTGGCCTTCGGAAGCCATGCAAAAGAAATAAATAGCTTTTCTTTTATGTTAAAACCAGCAAAACACACCATCAGAAATGTGGCCAAAATTCGTATCAAAACTGCAAAGCCCAGGGTGGCAACACAAAGCCCTGTAAAAAAATACTCAACTTTTAGAAATAATTAAGAACTAGGAAAGAAACTACATCTCATGACACTCAAAATAGTATCAACAGAAATAATGACAAGATAAAAAATTAAAACATAAAAATTAGACAACAATTAAATATTTGAATTTTTACAAAGATCACTGCATGTTATCTCTTTTATGCTTTAAGGCAAGGACCACACTTTCTTCCACTTACCAGCAGTTTATTAAATGCGACAATGCATGACTAGTGTTAAGCTAAGTGTGAGGTGCACTAAAATGTAAACTGTACTGAAGAGAATTGGAACTGAAGTGGAAAAGGTGAGTAGGCAGAAGTCAAATGAAGTAAGGGGACTATATAAAATTTCTCACATCCTATTTTAATTTTAATAATATTACTTCTCATTGTGGTAAAATGTACAGAGCACTTAGCATCTTGGCCATTTGTAAGTTCAGTAGCATTAAGTATTTTCAGACTATTGTACAAACTGTCTCAGAACTGTTCCATTTGCGAAACAAAAATTCTGTTGACTATTGCACAACCACCACACACATCTCCCTACTGCTGTCCTGGAAACCACCACTTTACTCTCTGTCCCAGGGACTGCTTAAGATACCTCATCTAAGTGGACTCACACAGGGTCAGCCTTTTGGCAACTGGCCTCTTCTCATCAATTCTATGTCCTCAAGGCTCATTCATGTATATTGCAGCTCATGTCAGACTGGAATAAACATTATTTACTTCTTTATGATAAGAGATTAGAGACTACATTCTGAAGAGAAATATTTCTGAAGGGGGATATTTAAAGATGCAAGAGAGAAAGGGCACTGTGTGAGTATGGGATTCAGAAGGAGGTAACACACAGAAAGGTTTCTAGTAAAGATTGAAAAATACAATGCAAGGCAAGGAAGAAATAATGAAGGTATGCAGAAAATGAATTTAAGTGCAGTGCTTTAAATCAAGAGTTTTAATATAACATTTTTAATGTATAAAAAATAAGAGAAGGAATGAACACACAAATATTTTTATTCTGTGGATACCTATTACAGAACTAATTATTTTTACAATTCTGATCCTTCATCAGTAACAGACTTCATGAACATTCATATCCTTGGGATTTTTTTTAAGAACTGACTTCTCTGCATAGAGATACTGCATGGATAAGTATGTTGCTTTTCTTTACAAGGAACAATATTACAAGCACAGAATTTATTGTCTTACATTAAACAGAACTATTTTAAATCATTTCCTCTGAAATATTCAGATAATAATTAACTTTTTGTATTAAGGTGTCAGTGGGGGGGGCTACTGAACACACATGTACTAAGATATTTCAAGTGAATATAAAAAGAGTTGATCTTAGCAAAAATACCTCTTTGAAATTCTTACCAACAGTTCCTGGTTTAAGAGATGCTATGGATACTTCTGCTCCAATCAGTCCAAAAAGAAGGGGCTGAAAAATATCCCAGGCAACTGCCACAATCTTTTCAACGTCTTCCTAAAAAAACAAAAACCAAGCAAACAGCAAAACATACATGATTTTTAAAATAGATGGTATTACAACCCAAGCACCTTATTATATTAAAATTGGAGTCATTTGACTTAAAATGGCCTCCATATTACAGAGATTACCTGAAACAAAGCAAAAAATTCCCTGAAGATACATAATGCACATTAGTATATTAAGTATTGGTTGCAAATGACTGTTAATTATGAAGACTCTTTTGTGGTATGTTAATTATAAAGATTCTTGCATAGATATGTGCCTTATTATGCTGCAGATTAATCTACAACATGTAAGTACTACAGTTCATTGTACTTACCGGATGGTTTTTAAGTTGTTTCAAATTTTGTTTTATCATTACAAAAAAAAAGTTATCTCAAGTCATGCACAAAAATAAAATCCAGGAATAATAAATCACTGAGCCAGTCAGAAATTTTTTTTTGGTCCCTGGCTCCAACTGTTTTTGACAGAGCTGTGCCTGTTTCAGGATTTCTTTTTGACTGTGAGCACGAGGGCGCTAAGGAGATATTGCAAGCAAGAAGTGCTTCGCTTTCTGGTTTCTGGAGCTACCCCCAATGGGATCCTACAGCAAGCACTGGTGTCTTCAGGTTACCATCTCCAGTGTCACTCTCCTATAGTGCAAGGTGGTCAGCAGCACTTCCCCAGCACACACGAACTTTTTAACTCATACCACATGTTGTTCTTGTGCTGGAAGACTGACATGAAGGTTATAATAAAATCAGGATGTGTTACAGAAATAAAAAATATCACAAAACAAACAGTAAAAATTCACAGTTTTGTGGTATCAAACCTAATTATTTTTGCTATAAATTTTACCTTTTGTACTTCATAACTATTTGTATCTACTTCAGTAAGTTCTTGTGATTCATTTCTGGATCATCCATAAGAAATGATTTGAATTTTTGTAAACACCTGAGATTGCAAATGTTCTTTTCAACCCTGTTTTTTTGCTACATCTCAAAGGTAATGATGTTCTAGTTTTAATTGTAATTTCTCCAGAGCCACATGGGTCATTTATCAGTTTCTATAAGAAGCTTTTTAATTTTATTTTTATTTGCAACACACTGGTATTTTTGCAGCATGTTTGTTAAATCCATGTTGATGAAAATTCACTCTTTTTCTCCCTGTTGTGGTCTGTGTTCACTGGCTCTGTATTTAAGGGGTTGTATAACAGAAGTGTAGCAGAGACTGACATGTTCAGATGTGGAGAAAAAGTGCAGTATGTCTCTATGCACACAGACCAAAGACACGCCCAGTGAAACAGCTGAACTTGTCCTAAGAGTAGGATGTTGGACTCTCCAACATTGTCCATGCCCACAATGTTGGGAAACACTTCAATAACAGTAAAATGGACTTATGACTGTTCATGAAGGACCACCCATTGTAATACTAGAGAGGAAATCAATGTGAGGTGGGGAAAGGGAACTTGGGGAGGGGGACAGGAAATCCCAGTGCCTGTGGAACTGTATCATAAAATAATTAAAAAAAAAAAAGACAAAGATCCTCACAGAAAAATGGGCAATGAAAATGCAAAATAATTCACAAAAGGAAGACAAAAGGCAAGAAAACTCAAAATGCTGAAATATAGTCAGCAGAGAAACACAAAGTAAAATGAGAATCTTTTTGGGCAAGAAGCAATCACATTAGAAATACACTAAAATGTTTTAACAATATCAAGTATTTCTGAGATTGTGGTGAAATTCTAATTGGTGGGAGAGAAATGAACAATGCCTTTTTTATGGAAAATTTAGTAGGATCTTTTACACTGTCTAGGAATATGCATTGAACACAAATAAATGGAAATTAGCCAATTTCTATCACAAATATTAAGACAGCAAATATTAATAATCTTAAAATAGTAAAAATAAACTTATAAAATATGGACAAAGACTTTTGAATAAATTAGTTAATCATCATATGAAAAGATGATTACCTTCATTCAAATCAAACAGCACGTCAGATCAATTTCAATGTTATTTCAATATCTCTAAAAGGAAGATTTATATCATAGCACATTTGTAGTATTTTTTTTTTTCTTTCTTGGGGCATGTGCAAGAATAACTTCTCTTACAACTAACCATACCTTAGAGCTGGTGAATTAGTATGTAAGGATATTGTATTGAAGCACTGCTTGTTTTGGTAGAAAACTGGAAACAACAAAAATAGTGAAAATTATACAGTGCAATACTCTGCAGCTGTTAAAACAACAGAGAAGGCATCGTGGTAATGCACCTGTATTGGTAATGCACCTATATTGTATTTTAAGTAAAGACATCTCGTTATAAATTGGTATACAAGAGGGAAAATGATATGCAGGTGTGTATTGGGAGTATAGTTGTATATATAAAGAAAATAGATTTGAGTTAAAAATCGTGTCAATTTGATGTTAAGAAAGTATCTGGAAAGAAAAAACAATATGATTAGGACAGAGTCAAAAGGAGAAAAATTTTAAATAACATTTACCTTCTGGTTCCATCTCAGGCCTGCTAGGAATGCCATGACCAATGTACACAATCCTCCTGATCCAGGGAAACCAAAATACACACTGCTGAACACGGCGAAGACAGAGAATCCCAAAACAAGGAATGCTCTCTTCCACACAAGGTTCTCCTTTAGGGAGAAAAGGTGATTAGCTCCCTCATTTCAAATAATTGGTTCTTTTGATGCTTGACTTTTCCACATCGGGACTTAGTGGCAATACTATCTTTGTCCACAAATATGGCTGATTTCCTTAGTCGAAGCAGAGTAAGCACATGCACAAAGGTAGCCTTCCCTTTCAGGAGTGCCAGTTCTCTTCCTGCAGCTGTCAGCGCAGGAGCTCACAAAGCTCCCAGAAAGGCTTATTGATTGGTTTTGGTGCCAGACAGACCCAGCATAAAATTTTAGCTTTGATATGTCATTACAGAAACCTCTCCCAGCTCTGTCTTCTCAGCCCTGAAAGCATTACTAGTATGTTACAGAGATTGTGTTAAGATTAATGAAAGCCTCTATTAGTTTCAAGGGTTTGTGTTTACTGTTGCATTTGAGGCCCCTTGACTTTTCTTTCTAAATGCTTGAATACTTTAAGACACTCTAGACTTAGACTTGAGATGGTTTTTAAAAGTTTAAGACCTTGTATATCTTTCCTTTACTTTCCTTGTTCAATTTTTAATAACTTTTTGATCATATTAGAAAGCAGGGTTTTAAAAGTGCTTAGTTTGGGGCAACAAGATACTGTACTCTATGCAAGGCACATGCATGCATTGAAAGAAATAAGACTAGATTTGGTCTGTAATACTGCAATAAGGTGGAGCAATCCACCATGGGGGGAGGGCAAGATGAGGGGAAGGGGGAACATCAGAGCCTATGAAACGTTGTTATAAAATTAAATGCAATTAAAAAAAAAAAGAAAAAAAAGTGCTTAGTTTGGAGGCACGCAAGCTCTGGAAGAAGAGTTCCTTAGTTCATGCTCAGCTCCATTGCTTCCTAGCTACACAACCTAGTTCAAACTACTCACCCTGCCTAAGCCTCAATTTCCTCATCCTTTAAGTCGTTGTATTAATAGTATTCTCTGTATGGACGGCTAGGTGGATTACACTAGGAGCACTAGTTCAGCAGCTGCCAACAGAATGTTCAGTGATAAAGAACGTGTTCTGTGTCTGTACATGGAAATGTTTTCTGTTTGCTGTAGGCATTTGCAGCTGTGAACAGAGCTGCAGGAGGTGATAACGCATCTAAAGTACTTACCACATCATTTAGTACACAGTAACAAACAAGACACAGCCACCATATTTCTATTTTGATGCATAATTGAAATAATCCTTAGAACTTCAAGGCATTCATGAAATTTTCTTCAAAGTTTTTTTAGAGCATGATAGAAATTCAAATCACCACATACAATGATAATTGTATATGAAATGTTACTTCTTTTTTTTTAAAAAAGAGTTAATTAATGACTTTTATTTGAAAGGCAGATTTGCAGACCAAGAAGGAGAGACAGAGAGCCAGAGGAAGAGCTCTTTCATCTACTGGTTCACTCCGCAAATGGCTGCAACGGCCAGCCAGCTGGAGTGGGCCAATCCAAAGCCACGAGCATGGAGCTTCCCTTATGTGGGCACCATGGTCCAGGCACTTGGGCCACTTTTCACTACCCTCCCAGACACAACAGAACGGAGCTGGATCAGAAGTCCATTAGCTGAGACTTGAATGGGAACTCAAGTGGGATGATGGCACCGCAGGCAAAGGCTTAACTTGTTATGCCATTGTGCTGGCTCCTAATTTCCTTAATTAAGATTCTTCTTTAGTTACATCTCCAATTCTATTAAAAATGTTCTGAGTTCCCAAAATAATTCCAATATTATAGACAGAAGAGGTTTATGTATGCTTATCTACTCTAAGAGATGCAGAAACATGAAGGCAAACAAGCAAACTTTCATCTCCATTAAGAAATCACTGCGTAAATGAAGAATTTAGATCTTGAAGTGACTATTATAGTGAGATGATAAATTCATTTTATAGCATTAATAATTTAATATAATTTTAATACTAAGAGCTATTACATAATAGCCCATAAGAGCTATTACATATCCCAATTTATCCGAGTATTATAAAAATTTTAAAAACATATATTCTCATTTTTTGGAATTGATACTATTTGTCTTACAGTCAAATTTGAAGTATGTATAACATAAATTAGAGGAAAAATTCCAAGATTTCATTAAAATCTTATAGATTCAATCATCTTCCTAAATCTCATGAACATAACTGAGAAAGCAATTAACAATTCAAAAATGGGAACCATTTTCTCAAACACAGCCTTCACATCCAACTTGAGGAAATATTTCAGTGACATCTCAGAGCAAATTTGCATACAGAGTATTTCTTTTACCTGGTCACTGCTTGGAAAATATTGAATAAAAAATCCAAGAAGACATCCAGCTAATACACCAATTACCACTTCCAAAACTCCTCTGAGGACATTAAAAACTGTGGACCCTGAAAATACATTAAAAAAAAGCCTTAAGTAGAATATGCATAAACATATTTAAAAACAAAACAAAACAAAACAAAATAAAATCTTCCCAGGTAGTTTCAGCGTGCAGCAAAAGCTAAGACCTTTGGTTTAAAGGAATATGCCAGGAAAGCCATGAGACCATGAATTTGAATAGAGTTAAGATACAGCTGATTGATTTGACCTAACAGGAACAGGGTTTCTTCATTGGCTTCTGAACAAGAAAGTAATGTTATAAAAACTGTTTTGAGAAGATTACTTTACCAGAGACTGGCTAGAAGGTAAACTCTGGGACAATGGGAAGAGGAGTGTTTCTAGGTGCTCACAGCTAATCATAACATAGGAAAGGAACCCAGGGGCTTTCCTGGGGACCTAGAGGACATAACATTAGCAGATGTTGTGTTTCCACTGAGGAATCTTAAACTAGGCTTCAGCTACAATGATACAATGATACTTCTTGGATGACATAAAGTCAGAAGCTTTATTAATTTTAAACACAGACTAAGAGGTGAACTTTAACTTGTGCTATGTCAAAGAATAATAAAAGTATCAAACTGCTTCTCCACCTTTGGGCTAAGATCTAGCATAGCCTCTTTAATAAGTTCCTGTTTTTGAACCACTTCAAACAAGATGTCCATTTCAGACACTTATAAAATATCGCTAAGGCATCCATTAAAAGCACAAACGGTGACAGATGACAAAACAGGAGTGGTTCCTGCTTTAGAACCATGCTGTTCCTTTCACATGGACTACTCTGCATTTATCCCGATTGAGAACCCTATTCACCCTCTGTGTGAATTTCCAAGATTAAGCTTGCTCAGATCATTCCAGGCAGAAGCTGTTGTCCCCATTTAGAACTTCCCAACCTCAAATCCGCAGTCTGAGCTAAACTTGAGCCATCTAGAGAGAAAAGAAGGGAGTGAAGAACTTAAATTTATCTTTCTTATTTCTTTTTAAAAAAGATGTATTTTATTTTTATTGGAAAGGCAGATATACAGAGAGGAGAGACAGAGAGGAAGATCTTCTGTCTGATTATTCACACCCCAAGTGACCACAACAGCCAGTGCTGCGCTGATCTGAAGCCAGGAGCCTGGGGCTCTTCCAGGTCTCCTACGTGGGTGCAGGGTCCCAAGGCTACCGTGCCAGGCCCTGTCTTTCTTATTTCTAATTGGCATTAAGGTTACCAAGCAAATATTCCACAGTTCTTATGATTTTTAAAAATGGATTTATTCAGGGGGGCTGGCGCGGTAGCCTAGTAGCCAAAGTCCTTGCCTTGCACACGTCAGGATCCCATATGAGCATCTGTTCATGTCCCAGTGCCCTGATTCTCATCCTGTTCCCTGCTTGTGGCCTGGGAATGCAGTAGAGGATGGCCCAAAGCTTTGAGACCCCGTAGGAGACCTGGAAGAGGCTCCAGACTCCTGACTTTGGATCAGCTCAGAATCGGCTGTTGAGGCCACTTGGAGAGACAGTTGGTTAGCAGAAAATCTTCCTCTCTGTCTCTCCTTCTCTGTATGTCTGACTTTCCAGTAAAAATAAATAAATCTTTCAAAAAACAGATATATTCAGGGTCCAGTGCAATGGCTCAGTGACTAAATCCTCGTCTTGTGCAGGCTGGGATCCCATATGGGTGCTGGTTCATGTCTCGGCCGCTCCAGTTCCCATCCAGCTCCCTGCTGGTGGGCTGGGAATGCAGTAGAGGATGACCGAGAGCCTTGGGACCCTGCACTTGTGTGGGAGACCTGGAAGAAACTCCTGGCTTCTGACTTCAGATTGGCTCAGCTCTGACCATTGTGGCCACTTGGGGAGTGAACCAACAGATGAAAGATCTTTCTCTCTGTTTCCCCTTCTCTCTGTAAATATGCATTTCCAATAAAAATAAATACATTTAAAAAAATAAAAGGTTTATTTGAAAGTCATAGTTATGGTGAGAAAGAGAGAGGGAAAGTGAGCTCTTCCATCCATTAGTTTCATTTCCTAAATGCTGCTGAGCCAGGCCAATACCAGGAGCCCGAACTCTGTCTGGGTTTCCTACATGGGTAGCAGGTGCCAAGCACATGGGCCATTTCCCGCTGCCTTCCCAGGCGTGTCACCAGGGAGCTGGACCATGCATCAACATTCATGTGGGATACAAACTAGTGCTTACATGGGATGCTGACATCATAGGTGGTGTCTTGCTGGGTTACCATGGCTGCCCCATTTATACCATTTTATTATTATTATATTTTTAATGAGGAGATCTCCCAGTGTGTGGGACATCATAAGCCATGTGGTGCACCGTGTCCCCAAGGGAACACCCTGACAGTGGTCTTGGTTCACCAAGACCTCAAACTGGCCTGATCACTGGCCATATAGGCAAGAGTGGTGGACTACTCCTTAGACGAGCTGTGCTGGGACTTCCTTGATAAGCAACTAGAAGAAATCAGGTGCCTGCGGTCCATGTTACCTGCCAGCTTACCTGGTATACGTGACCCACAGCCCACCTGTCAGCCGTGAATGTTGTCCATGACCTGTGACATGACTGGAGGGTCCAGAGAAACAGACATGCCTTCCAGCCAATCCCAGCGCCGTTTTGGGGTCGGAGGACTGTCGGGAGATGTCCCTCTGCCTTCCCCCCTTTCTTAGTCTATATAAGTTTGTGCTTTACAGTAAGTGGTCATGCTTGATCAGACTGTCTCTGCTGGTTCGTGCTGAGGAACACTGCTGCTGCCTCATTTCCTCAGTGGTTTTGGAGACCTGCTGGTCAGGACACCCCTGAAAACTGGTGCCTGAACAGGGACCGGAAGATATCAGGCAAGCATGGATGAGGCCTCTCTCTTCCTAGTGAGAGGGGAAAGCTGCCCCTTTTGTTGGGGCCCCTCAATTTCTCTATCAGAGACTCCTCCTCGCAGCACCCATCAGCTGCTCTCTCCTCGCAGATACCGTGGTGCCAACCACACTTCCTGTGCTTTTATTATTTTCAATTGTGTCTCCAGGGTGCACCGGAAGAGCATGTTGTGAGCTGATAGGTTTACCTGTGAAAAAGGCCATGCCCAAGCATGTGTTGAAGCCAGTGATGGCCAGGATATCATCGAAGCTGCCAGCAGCCATGAGTAAAGTGGGGACGCCCTTTTCAACGCCATAGCCTCCTTTCTGCAACAGGAGCATGGAAGGCACCACAACAGCCGGGGAGACGGCACCTAGAACGAAACTAAGCATGCGGTACTTCAGCTGTTGCTTACAGCAGTTCGCTCATTCTTCTTTTTTTTTTTTTCAGAAATTATGATAACATCTACTCTTGTCAGGATTTAAATTTGTCCACTACAGTCTTTCAAATGGCAGAGAAGCAGCAAAGCAAGAACAGCTGCACACACACTATTTTTCAAAGCATAAGCATGGACAACTTGCTATGGAACTATTTATGTTGCCTAAAATATCTATTTATGGGTAATACAGAACGTTCTAATGGGATTGGTTCCCAGGAAGCTGCCATTTGCACAGCAAAATGCTCATGCTATGAAGTCTGCAAGCTTGTCAGAAATATACTAGATTGGAGCCCCATATTAGAGGCCATCTATCAAGACTTGACATGTAATATAACAGGTTTATTACGTGCCAAACACCATCCTGAGACTCTACATTCATGAACTAGTAAATTCACATGGCTCCTAACCATGGAGTGTGTTAGCAGGGGGAAACCCGAGGTAGGGGCTGACCACTGCTTCTGTGCTCCTCGTTCTCTGCGCGCACTTGGAAGTGAGACCCAGCATGTCTTCCCCAGGCATGGAATCAGATGTAGGCGAGACAGCATGACTTCCTCAAGAGTTTGAACTGTTATAATCACTGCAAAAGCACCTCAAAGAACACTGACTATTTTAAAGTCAGCCAGTGAGATGAGGTTAGATTATCTTCTGTTTCCTGCTGTCCTTAAGAAAATGGCAGTGTACCTTTTCTTGAGCGGAATCAGAGAAAACCCTAAACACCCTTGCACATTCTCACATGACAAAGAAAAAAAAAACCATTACCCCAGAATGAATCCCCACTGCCACGGCAAACCCATCAGGAAGTGGGCAAGAACAGCAGCCGTGCAAGCCTCCACTAGACAGGGACCCAGCGAGAGTCTTACACAAACACCTTTCAGCTTCTTCAGGGCCTGAAACAGAAAGGGAAACATGCTGACACAATCCCCTGCAGGCAGGCATGCAGATGTGCTTGCTGAGGCTTTCTCTCCAGTATTCAGGTCACATCTGGGTCATGTGAGTTTCCCAGGCACTGGGTTCTACTTAACAAGCATCAACATCCTAGAGGAGTTGTGGAGTGAGTTTACTTAGTCCTCATAGCAATCCTGTGAGATAGGTAATATTTCTGGTTTTTTTTTCTAGATACACTCATCTAAAAGCTATACATTTAAGTCATTTGCCTAACATTATGGAACTGGTGAGTGGTTGGGCCAAATGTAAAAGCAGATTGGCTGCTTTCATGGTCTGTGCTCATAATCCTCATTCTAGATGAGTTGTTCTCTGAGGACTGATTTGCTTATACTCTGTAAGCCCGGGGTCAGGCTAGAGACGAGAACCTTGCTCCTCAAGAACACTCATTCTTGCGTTCGAAAACAGTTGCAGGACCAGTGCTCTACCGCAGCAGGATCTGCTCCTGCCAGCAATGCCAGCGCCCCACGCAGGCACTGGTTTGACTCCCGAAGGCTCTACTGCTGATCCAACTTCCTGCAAACACACCTGGAGAAAACAGTACAGAATGGGTCCCCTCTGTTGACGTGAAGGCCCAGGATGGAGCTTCTGGCTCCCAGCTTTGGCCTGGCCCAGTCCTGGCTGCTGTGGACATTGAGAGTCGTAAGCCAGGGATCGAAGGTCTCTTGTCTTTCTGTGTGTCTCTCTCTGTGGCTTTCTTTCAATATTAGCAAATTACTCTTAAAAAAAAAAAAACCCCCATACGAGAAAAAGCAATGAAAAAGAATTCCTGGGATTTGTTCCATGCATTGGGCAGTTTACTAAGCCAGCTAGCCCTAAATAATTGCATAAGGATTTGTATGCCTAAAACATGCTTTATTTCCTACTGCTAGTCTCTGTAACTAGCACAGATCTCTCAGGGAAAGTGAACGTTTTACTCTCTGCTGTCCTCATACACAGTGATCCAACCTTTCTCCAAGAATCCGTGTGGAAATACCTCCTGGTTCCTCTGAAGCACAAGGCCTTCCCTGCATGAACTAAGTCTACTCTTTGCTTACAATATTAAGCGAAGTGTTCACAACCGTTTCCTGGAGGACCCAAATCCTCAATCTATAAGCAACAGCTTACACTCCATACCTTTGAATCCAGACCCAGGCCAGCACGAACCAGTATGATAGATAGGGCTATGCTTCTCAAAGAGGAAGACCACTTGTGTTGGATCTGCACATTGTCACTAACATCTGGGATATTTCTGATGAGAAATCCGGCAAGCAGCATGCCTGAATGAAAAAGTTAAACTTTTACAAATACAAGAAATAATATAATAAATTGGAGGAATGAAGAAAAACCTTAAATGTATCAACACCCCCCACCCCCAACACGTCATGAACTTAAAAGATAGAAAGAAGCATTTGGATGGAGTCTGGTTAAATTCTACACACAAATTATTTCACATGATGCTGGCTTAGCCATCCCTTCGCAAGCAATAGTCCCTAAAATTACCTGCTGTGATCAATTACCTAAAATATCAATAAATGATTATATTTAATGATTGGAAAGCTTTTAAAAAGTGCAATACCCAAGCCAATTTCCATACAAATTAATTCAGAGTCTCCCGGGTAGGACCTGGGCCATCTCCTTTTTGAAACATCCTTTTTTATAACATGCAGTTATAATGACCTTGCCCTTTGAACAGTGCCTCAGTTCTACCAGCAGAGTAGCAAGAAGCCATTGCAAATATACAAATAGATGAACATGAGTTTCTTCAGAAAAAGAGGTGTTCTGTCAGCTTTGTAACATAGCATACAAGCAATCCATTTTAATAATAATGTAATAATCCCAACAAAAAAAGCATCCATGAAAAATAATATGAGCTACACAAAATATGAAATATTTTTACTTAAAATAAAAACATATAATGAGAACAGTAGAGTAAGATGTAAATAATTTTACTTCTTTTTATATTTAGCTTCCACTGCTAACCATAAATTCAAAAACAACTAAATTTGGTCTATTGTCCACACTAAAATAAGCCAATAGAAAAAAATGTGTGTTACAGTGCAAGTTAATAAATGCATATAACTATACAGAGATATTATTAGCTTTTGAATAAAACTGAGTAATATTTTAGAAGTAGAACATAAAATACCCTTGTGATACACTAAAATTATGTAGTGCTGAATTTTAAAAAAATGTATTTATTTTTATTTGAAATGCAGATTTGCAGAGAGAAAGGGAGAGAGAGAGAGAGAGATCTCCCAAACTCCCATCCACTGGTTCACTCTCCAATCAGCTGCAATTGCCAGAGTTGAGCTGAGCTGAAGCCAAGAGTAAGAAGCTTCTTCCAGGTCTCCTACATAGGTACAAGGGTCCAAGGACTTGAGCCATCTCTGGCTGCTTTCCCTGGCTATAAGCAGAGAGCTCGGTTATAAGTGGATTAGCCAAGACATGAATCAGCACCTGTATGCAACGCCATCACCGCAGATAGAAGATTAGTCTGACATGCTACCTTGTCAGCTCCATAAGGTAGAATTTTAGAAGAAACCTTAGATGTGGTGTTTCAGGCTAATCCTCCACCTTGTACAGGCAGTTCTCACTGTATTGTTTAGGCAATTCTCACTGCCTCTGGAAACACTATTTTTGGCAACGTGTTTTATATTTTAGAAATGCTCCATGTTGAGCTGGTAAATGCTTATCAAATGGCCCTCCAAAAATAGGCATTTTCTATATGTACATATGTTTACTGTAAAATTCACTGATACAGAGAATGTGCAGATTACATTGATACAGAGATTACAGATTTGTATATAACAATTTGTAAAGTCTATGCCCAGGAGAAACTATTGTTGCAGTTCAATCAGGATTCCATGGACCTCAAATAAATGTCTTATAGCTTTGCAATTAGGTAAAGAAGCCACTCACATCTCTGATGAGTGAGTGTAGTGTCACCATGAAGGTGGGATGATATTCTGTTTATGTCTTTGTCACTGATCTGGGTTTCTTATAACAAGCCCTGTTGGCAGTATTTCTATGTTACATAGAAACTTCCACTATGGTCAACTGTGAGTTCCCAACAAGGGTTGGAAACAGAGGGGAAGGGGCACACAATTATATACTATTCCATAAATTCAGCAGCATAGATAGATCAAGAAAATGTGGTAAAATAATTAAGAAGTTACCAGTTCTGAGTTGTGATTGCTCTTGTTACTTAATTGCAAATATACATGTGTATATACACACATGTATAATATATATATGGCTACAATGTGTGTATATGTGTATATATATGTATGTATGTGTGCATATATATGTATATATAAATATGTGTAATATATACACACATATACGTGTAGACATACATATTAAAATATGAAATGTATAAATATATAAAATATAAAAATACATATATACACACATATATAAAATTTTCATATTTAACAATTAGTTCACAAAACTTAAAATCCAACAAGTAGCTTTAACCTCAGCATAGTAAATATGGACTTTTCTGAGTCCTTTGTTCTTCAAAGCTATCCAAATCCAAATCATTCTATAAAATAAATATGAATCACGCTTAAAGAAATAAGAGGTGTTTAGTACGTACCAAGAAGAGGGGGTAGTGGAGGCAGTGTAGGTAATTTGATGAGACTGAAGAGTTTTCCTCCAATGACTGCACAATAGAACAGGATTAAAATTCCAAACAGGTTTCCTCCAGGCAGGCATTCACTGCCTGTAATGGACCAGACCACAGCCCACAGCAGAACAATGATGCTCACTGAAATAAACCAGAACAGCCTGGTTTTATCAATATGTTCTCATTTGAAGAGTTGACAAAATCTAAAATACATTTTAAAATCAACATTGGATACATATACAAATATTTACAACCATGCATTAATTTGGTAGGACATCAGAAGTAACAACTGAGTGATTACGCAACCAAGAAATAGGATCCTTCCAGTACCTTCAAATGTATATCCATGCTCTTCCAATCATATTCCCTGCATTCCTCACTTTGCTAGAAGAAACCACCATCTTGATTTTTTATTATTCCCAAAGTGTTATTTCAAAAATAATCTTAGCATAAGTACATTAGCATAAGCTAATGTTATACAAGTGTTATGTTTACATTTCTCATAGGACCATAAAGTTACCCAAATTCTAATCAAGCCAGCATTTTAGTGCTGCCTTAATTGAATATTAATTTTGTATCATCAACGCTTGTTTAGAATCACCCACTTACTTTTTGTTGTCATTCATTATGAAACCTCAAACCTTTCATCTGAGACCCTGATTCTACTATCTGAAGTATTTCCTTTCTCAAGGACACTTCTATTAGAATATAAATAACTGTGTTTACTTTTGCTTTCCAAATAGCTTTGTCTTCACTTGTTATTGCTTAATGCCATAAAAATATTAAAGTGCCAGGAAAACAGATGGACAAAAATGCAAATTCCATGTTACATTGTCACAAATTCCTACTTACCACTGCAAACAAGCAAATCTGTGGTGTAGAAACACAATGTATCAAAGCCATTATATTTCTCATGAGGATTTGCTGCAGTAAATTCTTTTACTGCCTCAAAGTATCCCTATTCTCATTCTTAAAAGATAGTTTTCCTGGGTGTACCTCAGGTTTACCTCAAATTCTAGTTTGAGATTTCTTATCCCTCAGTTCCTTGAAAATTATTCTTTGGTTTCTGGTTTTCTTGTATTAATGAACTCCTTTTCTGTGACTGCTTTAAGACCTCTTTTTTAGTTTTAGAATGGCATATTTAGGGTGGCTTCCTTGTGGTTTGCGTAAGATTTATGTTGATGGCCTCCATTCTTACGGCCTGGGAAAGCGATGAGGGTGATCCAAGGCCTTAGGCCCCTACGCCCACGTGAAGAGCAAGGAGTGCCTGGCTATTGCTTTGGACTGGCCCAATCAGCTGTTTTGGTCATCTGGGGAGTAAGGCAATGCATAGAAGATCTCTCTCTCTCTGTCTCTCTCATTCTCTAACTCTGCCTTTGCAATAAAAAAAAAATAAATCTTTAAAAACAAACATTCATAAAGTTATTCTAAGTTGTATTTATGTCAGTAATTTATTTTCTATCTATGATTTTGGAAAATCATGTTTTTACATCTAAGATTTACGTGTTAAGAATGCATCCATGTAAGAATAGGCACAGGAAGAAATAAAGGATAAAAGGAATCTTGTAAACCTAAGGAACAGAATTAACTTTAGAAAAACAAGTGGAAAAATTACTTATTGTGAATGAAATAATTTTTTCAGGCAGTTTTATAAAACAAGGATCATAAATGTTTAAAAAACAGATCTCAGAATCCCACCATTCATTTTATCCTTTCCTTACATCAACCTATCTCCTTTGTTTTAAACCCATTTTTATTGGAAAGGCAGATTTACAGAAAGAAGGAGAGACAGAGAGAAAGATCTTCCATCCATTGGTTCATTCCCTAAGTAGATGCAATGACCAGAGCTGAGTTGATCTGAAGCCAGGAGCTTTTCCCAGGTCTCTCTCGTGGGTGCAGGGTGCCAAGGCTTTGGGTTATCCTTAACTGCTTTCCCAGGACACAAGCAGGAACTGGGATGGGAAGTAGAGCAGCGGGGATACTACGAACCAGTGTCCATATGAAATTTCAGCACATGCAAGTTGAGACCACTGAGCCATCACACCAGGCCTGATTTGTATTATTTTATTATAAATATTTTAACTAGAAATGTGCCATATTTTGATGGGAGAAGTTTTTTAAAAATAACATAAAGGACAGAAAAGCATTATATTATCAGTAACTTTATCAGTGCATATTTTGGAACATGATGCTCTCTAGATACTGATTTCATTTTCTCCAAATAAAGATGAATTTCATTAAGATATATCTAGAGCCTAAAGCACCACATAGACATATTATATTTGGCTTTCACTGCCTCAGATAAAAATGACAAAAACCGAATTTCATAGTTCACAAATGAAAGTATAATTAAGACTAAGTTATATTTTTCAGTATCTATAACATAACAAAAATACTTCAAAAAAGTTTGTGGAAATGGAATGAAAATTTATCTTTTTTGATTCCAAAAACTTGAAATCCATTCATGTGAAATGGATTCACAAATTGAATAGGAAAATGCATTATGAAAAGAAATATGTGAACTAAAAAAAAACACTTTTTGCACGAAGATAAACTAATCTTTTCATTCCTTTTTCCGTGAGCTTTTTGAGGTACCCTCCTATGGGAGGCCAGATACTGATTTCAGTGACATTGTCATTCCTCAATATAAATTGGTATTTTGTCTTCAGTTTTGTCAGTTTAGACAATTCTTCAACCCCTTTGCTACAGTTCCAATATCACTTTGGATGCTGGACGCCCCTCAGAGGCTCCTGTGCTAAAGATTCAAGTCTTTTCAATGTTCCTAAGAGGGTGGAACTTAATCTGCTTTAGTATTAAGGAATGAAGTCTTTGTTTAGGTTGTTAGGGTAGGGCTCCATCCTAGTGACATTAAGGGAAGAGACAGACACATATGTGATGCTCCAAGCCGCTTGGAGACTCTTAGCAAGAACAGCCACGGCAGACACCAACGCAATGGGTGCCTCATCTTAGGCTTGCTTCTGCAAAGCTATAAGCTAAATCAGCCTCTTCTATAACATTCAGCTGCCGCAGGTACTTCACTACAATGATGCAAAGCCGGCTGATACACCCTTTTTCCTAATACACTGCACGTTCTCCACCATACCCTGCTTACACATTTCCTTTCTGAGCAACAAGCAGCATTACTGCAGCAGAACACCAATTTACTCATCAAACTAATCACAGAATCACATTTGGTTAACTCCCCAAACCAAATCCATTCTTAGAAGACATAAATATCCCAATCCTAACAATACTCAAAATAGTGCTGGCATAAACTACCAAAGAAAAGTTGTCAAAATATTTCAGGTTGTAAGCCGCAGCCCCTTCAACAGTAGTTCCAAGCCACATTTATGTATTTCCTATTTAGAAATGATTTCTCAAAAAATTCTTTTTGGACCCTAACTGGAGCTCTACCATGACACTATGAAGCTCCTAAAACAAACAAACAAACAAAACGAAACAAAAAAGCCCAAGGTCTTTTCTCTCTTTCCCTCCTCCTTCTGCCTTGGGGCTCTTGCAGGCCTGGACTGCAGGGGGGCTCTTTCAGCCTGGGCCTTTGTGTGGGACCGTGACACTCAGCACTGTGTACTGTCCCACCTTTCTGTGGGAGAAAAATTAAAAATGGACTTCTTTCGTCTTTCCAACCATGTTATTTGGAATATCCCGTTCTGGCTTCCACTTTTACCTTCTCTTTCTGAATACACCCTTATCATGTACATACCATTTGTTACCGCTTTGACAAGTAAACCACGTGGAGGGCAAGCCAGTATTTCTCTCAGTCTTTGCAAGCCATTTTTCTCAGTTGGTGTTTCCTGTAGCTTTTTTTCATCACTATTCAATAGGATGCTTCCTTCTGTTGGTTCATTTCCTTTGAAGTTCACAACTGCCTCCTCCTGTATTTAAAATCATTTATTTATTTACTAGAAACACACACACACATACACACAGGGGAGTAAGAGGGTGAGCGCTCCAATGGCTAGCATCTGTTGATTCACTCCCCAGGTGTCCACAGTGACCAATCTGGCTCTTGCATGGGGTAGCAGAGCCGTCACTGCTGCCTCCTGGGGTCTGCGCTGGCAGGAATCTGGACGTAGGAGCCAGAGCTGAGTTCTGAATGCAGGCGCTAAGGAGGGCATCTTTACTGGTAACTTAACTGCTAGGTTAAGCACCTTTCCTTAAAGCAGGCTTTTCTTTGTTTTTAATTGTATATTGCTATACATTTTTATTTATTTTTAAAATATTTACTTATTTTTATTGGAAAGGCAGATATACAGAGAGGAGAAGAGACAGAGAGGAAGATCTTCCGTCCAATGATTTACTTCCCAAGCAGCTGTCATGGTTTGAGCTTAGCCGATCCGAAGCCAGGAGCCTGGAGCCTCTTCCGAGTCTCTCACATGGGTACAGGGTCCCAAGGTTTTGGGCTGTCCTCTACTGCTGGAGCTGGGTGGGAAGTGGGGCCACTGGGACACGAACCGGTGCCCGTATAGGATCCTGGCGCACACACAACGTGAGGACTTAAGCCACTAGGCTACAGCACCAGGTCCTCTACACATTTTAAAGTTACCAGTTCATCATATTTCAAATCGAATCTCCATCATTAGAATCAAAGACAAAACTTTATAAGGAAAGCATACCACCTTAACCTCTAGTTAGTTCATTTAGTATTTGGAACAAGGACTGAGGAGAATTTAGCAGTGAGATACTATTTTTAGTGCAATAAGTGTTTAATCCACATAAAATTCCATATTGGCTTTATAATACTAGGTTGAAAAAAATCAACATATTTAAGATACAATTCGGGACAATGGCTGGTGATATAAACTGTCCCTGGAAAATATAATTATCTGCAATGCAAACCAACTCACATTCACTCCTCTGCTTTTTTTTTTTTTTAAGCAATAAAAAGAGAAGGAACAAATCAAAACCTATGCTAGATATTATGCTAGGAACAAAAGTATTTCACAGGCGCTTTGTTTTTTCCAGCCTTAGCTAGGACCAGCTGCTAAAGGCCTCGGTCTGGAATACTGGTAGCGCTAACTACTCTGGACTGTGAGTTTGGGAATGAAGAATGAAGACAACTGCTAGCTGAATGGCAGAGAATGAAGGGAACGCAGTTCGGTCATAGCTAGGACACGGCCCCTTGCTTGCACAAATGGTGGGGGTGGTCTACATTTTATCATAGACTTGCCTGGGTTTCTCTGCAGGTGGAGACTGTGGGACTCATCACTGTGGATGCTCCTGAATCTTCACATCCAATGGTTATAGCTTCATCCTTCATGATTTATAGCTGAGAACAGGGAAGCAGAAAAAGATCTGTTTTGGAGGAGAAACAAAATAGAGACAGAACAGCAACTTGAACATCCTCAGATGTAAATGAATATGTTCTATTATTTCCTCCCTTGGACTACTGAATGGCGTTGGAACTATCCTCAACTTTCAAATGATAATCTTCTGTTTGATTCAAGTACATTAGTCTCATTGTTACTCAACTTTGACTTACATTGAAAAAGCCCTTGCTGACCAATCAATTTTCATTTCTTCCCTCGTGCCTCACTTTTTGAGGTATATTTCAGGCATCCTGAGCAATAATCACTACAAAACCATTCCCTTTAATGGCCCAACTTGATGAATCTGGAAAATTTCAGCAATTTTCCAAGGCTGAACGAGTCATCAAGGAGAAATTCCTGGGTTCCATTACATTTATAGACTGGTGTTACTACTTCCTGCTTGATTTTCTAAACTAAACTTCATAAATTCATCAACTGTGTAGCCACAGGGTCTAGACACTCTGTAAATGCTGCGGAAGTCACTGACAATGATTGTATACAATTCAGCTGTCACCAAAGCACATTCTTTGTCTTTCAAAGGCTTGTAGTATTTTAGGAAAGATCACCCTGTACCAAATACCCGAAGTCCTGTAAGCCTGGCTCAATACACAACCACTTCAACTATTTCTGCCTTGACTCTCCACACTACAGAGGCTGAAAGGACAAACACTCCAAAGCCACTTGTATAGGCAGAAGCAGCCCCGTGTCAAAGGGCAATGCATGAATATATAGATGGGAGCCTTTGGAGAAGCCTTAAAAGGATTTTGATTTTCCTAACATTTACCCTCTAACATTTCTCTTTCTAGAAGCTGGATACCATGACTAGTGGAGAAGCAGTCATCTTCCAACCTTGACAATAAAAGCCCCAGGCCTGGGATAGTAGATACGTAAAACAAGAGGTTTCTTGATGACATCTATTGAGTTGCTACTTAGGCATGGGCTGCCAAGCTGACTTCGTGGCAGTTGTCAGTACCATTTTTATTCAATTTTTCTTCTTATGAGTAGCTAAACTTATTCCAAATGCAATAACTAGAGTGAGCTTTATAATAGAGGTACAAAATATATTTTAATAGAACCAGAGACAAAATTATATGAGAGAAGAGAAAGTCTAATACAACATACATTTGAGAGCCTAGGACCGGGTGTGCGATAGCTAAAGGATAAATCTTTGTCTTGCATGCACCTGAATCTCATGTGGACACCGACTGGTATCCCAGCTGTTCCACTTCCCATCCAGCTCTCTGTGGCTTGGGAAAGCAGCAGAGGAAGGCTCAAAGCCTTGAGACCTGTACCTGTGTGGGACACCCAGAAGAGGCTCCTGGCTTTGAATCAGCTCAGCTCTGACTGTTGCAGACATCTGGGGAGTGAAGCAGTGGGTGGAAGATCTTTCTCTTTGTATCTCCTTCTCTGTGTAAATCTGTCTTACCAATAAAGATAAATCTTTTTTTTTTTTTTTAACAGAGTCTAACCTGTGCCAGGCACTACAATAGGCCATAAAGTCAGGAATGGGTCAGGCAAGACTCCAGGCTCAAGGAATCATTTCCTCAGTTTAGCAAAGTGCCAAGGAGTTTGTACTTAAAATTTCAGAAAACATCATAATCTCACCACCACCACCACAATCACAATGATTTTTCTTCTGCAGAAAACACAGTAACTTCTTTGCCATTTCAAAAAATCTTTTTATCCTATATAAAATAATACTTCTATATATAGAAGTAGCCTATTTTTTTCAAAATACAATATTTTGACTGTTAGACAACCCATACATTTTATTGGTAAAAAAAAAATTATTCTGCTTCAAATGGCAAAATTTTGTAAGTCTCACAAAGTTAGTAAATAATGTGAATACAGTGAGCTTTGATCTAAGTCAAGGGACTTGGCTGTTTTTCTTAAGATTTATTTTTATTTGAAAGCCAGATTTTATAGATAAAGGAGAGACACAGAGAGATCTCCCACTTGCTTGTTCATTTCCCCAGATGGCTACAGCGGTCGGAGCTGAGCTGATCCAAAGCCAGGAACTGGGAGCTTCTTTTGGGTCTCCCACGTGGGTGCAGCGTCCCAAGGAGTCAGGCTATCCTCTACTGCCTCCCAGGCCATAAGGAGAGAACTAGGTCGGAAGTGGAATATCCAGGATACCAACCTGCACTCACATGAGATGCTGGTCTGAGGATTATTCTACTATGCTACCATACCAGGCCCCAGGCCTTGGTTATTAGACCACTGTGATTGCTGTGTTGGCCCATTTCCCTGGACATTAGTAGGTCAAGTGTTTCTACAATTATAAGGAAAAGTTACTGACCATGTATGCTTCTCCTTAATAAACCCAGTATTCAGAATTTCCTACAGGACTGATATTCAGCAGGAATTTGGCTTAATCTGAATCTGACTTTCCAATGCAAGGGACACATGTCCCCAAAATGATAGAACTGTGGGCTCAAAAAGGAAAATGGCCTTACTGCTTCCTACAGACTTGACAGAAAATTGAACCTAAAAGAGCAATATGAGTTCTTTGTTGGTAATGAAATAATAATAATAACATGTTAGCAGTAAATGCTTATGGGAAGGGAACACAATTAAGGCATGCATTTCATTTTTAATTTTCCTATTGTTAAGATTTTACATGAAGACTTTCTTATGAATATTTAAACACATCTTTAAAAAAAAGAATCTATGCAATTATTGAAACTTTCGAGCAAACAAAATAACATAATTTTCTTTGGTAATATTTTCCAGATACATTCTGGTTACTTGATTTTAAGTAGCTTCATTGTGCCCATTATAACTTCAGGTCGTTTATTGCTCTGATGGCTTTCCAGTAATGGGACACTGCTTAGGCTCTTCTACAGCAGTGGTTTGAAGTTTTAAGCCAAAAATCTTTCACCAAATGAAACCGCATTCTTTTGTTTTGAGATTTATTTATTTTTATTGGAATGGCAGATATACAAAGAGGAAGATCTTCCATCCACTGATTCACTTCCCAATGGCCATGGCTTAGCAGATCCGAAGCCAGGAACCTGGAGCTTCTTCTGGGTCTCCCACGCATGTGCAGTGTCCCAGGGCTTTGGGCTCCTCTACTGCCACAGGCAGGGAGATGGATAGGAAGCAGTACGCTGGGACTTGAACTGGTGCCCATGTGGGATCCTGGTGCGTGCAAGGCGAAGACTTTAGCCACTAGGATACTGTGCCTCAAAACCTTATTCTTAAATTCAACAAATGGACAGATCATGGCAGAGCTACAAGAGCCCTAACTATTAACTTCTTGCCCAGTACATGCAGCAGCCTTTGAAAACCATTTCTGTCACTAAGCTTTCCATACAGACAGACACAGAGTGAATTAGCTTTCTCTTTTGGCTGTTTCATGCATCTAAACATTTAAATTGTTTTCAGTTCAATTTCAGAGAAAGTAAAGGAATTATCAATTTGTAAGTGTGCTCCTGTGCTGGATCAAGTAAAACATGTAAACTGCTGCCCAATTAATCAGTGCTGAAAGATGTCTGCAGGGCTAAAGCCTGCTTCTTGTGTCTTGTTGTATGTGCAATGAGTGGGCCTGGCAGTGAACA